GCACGTGTCTTATATTTTTTTTTTCGAAGCAAAGATTTAGGTTTTAATTAAATGTTAGCTAGATCTTTATGTTTGATGTATTCTAAGGAGAAAATATTTCTTTTTTAGCCTTTAAAAAACTTACAATAAGATTTTCGTAACTTACATCTGAATGATATTGCTTGGAATTATATCAATATAATCATTTTTACATAAGAATCCTTAATGAAAATTTAATTTCATATTTTATTTGTCTTTCAAATTTCATGTAAGCACGTTCATCTAAGCTTTAATAATAGTTCCATTATTACGCAGATAGGTTGAGAAACAAAACAACTTTACAAATTTTAAATAACTTTTCTCAAAAGAACGTTTTTCGAAACAACTGCGCTCTTATTTTGGTGCCTATCTATTTATAAAATGTCAGATATTATTGTTATGAATATTATTACTATTGCATGAAAAATTAATTTTTGATCACGTTCATAAACTTTTAGTAACTAATTTTAAAGCTCTTAATTTTAAAGCTCTTAATTTTAAGACATACCTGTTCAAAATGCCACTATTTCGTTTTTAAAATTTTCTTTAAAATCTTATCTGAAAAGCAAAATACATGAATAACATACTTGTTCTTAAATTTTAAAATGAATCAGAACAAAATTGACAAAGTTTTAAACCGATATTAGAAGATAGATAGCTTTAGAGAAGGACGAACTTCATGTCATGTATATAATTGAATTTCGTTTCCCTGCACCCATTTTACTACTTATTTCAATTATGAAAATAAACAATTATGTTTTTTTTATTATATAAATAAGGAACTACATTAGCTTTTTCGGACCCTATAGATGGTGCTTTTTAACGGAAATTAAAAATAACTTTTTAATGAGTAGAATTAAATGCTGTATTTTAGTATTTCTGGTCCAGAATCAAAAATGCGTGCACTTGAAAAAAAAAGGTAGAATTAAAAAAAAACTGTGCAATTATATAAAAAATATGTTTTTTTTAATTACTTTTTAAATAAATAACAACGATTGTCTAATTTTGTTTTATAGTTAATCTTTAAATTCTTTATTGTTACAGTATAGGCATTTTTGATAAGTATAAAAAATTTTTGGAAACTAAATATCGAACTTAATTTGATTTTTAAGCTATTGTAGCTAAATAATTTAAATAATTTTTTTTTTTTACCAAAAGAAACATTAATTTTTTTATTTATATATCTTTTATTTATTTATTTATTTAACATTTGATTGACCAATATTTATGATTACCGCATCTCAAACTGCAACCGATGAAAATATACTATTTTCTAATTCAAAATAAATTTAGTTATTATAGACAGATTATATAATCAGTAAACAGGACACTATTCACGTGATTGCCGTATATATTCACGTGTATAGATAGGGAAATATCATTCGGTCAGTTCACCCGATAGAGGGGAGAAAAATAGGTAAAGAATAAAAGAAAAAATTTTCATTTCCTTTTTCTAGCTTTGATTATGACTTTAACTAAAGGGTAAACATGATGCTATTTATAGTCTTAACTTAATCTATCCCTAACAGATGTTGTGAACTTTTGTCCTACTATCTGTTATATTTTCAGTTGTTCTTAATTTTTATATCAAAGATTTAAGATTATAACTGACTCTCAGAATCACTTAATTATTAATCAATAATTTTGGAATTCTTGTATTTTTTATGGCATGAGTGACCAAAATGAGAACTGAAGAACTCTTACAGAACTGAAATTAATTCATTTAAAAAATTAAAAAACTAATTAAAAATAAATGAATAGTTCATAATGTAAATATAAACCCATATTTTACTTTGTGCTGTATTTTTATTACCAGATGCTCTTAATAATTTTGACATTAAGATTTAAAATAATAATTGATTCTTAGAACATGAATCTTACGTCAGAAAGGTTTTGTTTATTTATTTTTTGGAGTTCTTGGATTTTTTTTATGGCATGAGTGATCAAAATGAGGTTTGAAGAACTCTGTTAGAACTTAAATTAATTAATTCTTTTATAAAATTAAAGAACTAATTAAATATAAAGGAATAATTCATAATGTAAATATAAACCCATGTTTTACCTTGTGCTGTATTTTTATTACCAGATGTTCTTAATAATTTTGACATTAAAATTTAAAATAATAATGGATTCTTAGAATATGAATCTTACGTCAGAAAGGTTTTGTTTATCTATTTTTTGGAGTTCTTGGATTTTTTTTTATGGCATGAATGGCCAAAATGAGGACTGAAGAACTCTGTTAGAATTGAAATTAATTAATTCATTTAAATAAATTAAAAAATAAAGAACTAAATAAAAATTAATAATTCATAATGAAAATACGAATCCATGTTTGACCCTGCCCTGTATTTCGGCTTTCAGATGCTCTTAATTTTTGATATTAAGAGTTAAGATTGTAATTAGTTTTCAGAACAACTTAATACTGATATGTATTAAAATTCTTAAGACAAAATTTTTTAATTATTAGATTTTTTATTGTATAGTCATCAAACTCAGAGCTAAAAATTTTAATTCAATTCATTGATAAAGTGTGATAAGTAAAAAAAAATAAAGGATTAATTCTTACTTGGCGTTAAATTTTCATTATTAGCTAATCTTAATTTTGATTTCTAGAGTGGCAGATTTTTAGATTGATTTAATATATTTTGTTAATAACATTTTAAACTAGTATTTGTATCATTGATAAAAAAAAAGTGCTATTATTTATGTTTATCTGTATGACGTAATCAATTTAATAGATTAAATTTGAAAAGTCTTTGATATTGATAGCACTAGTTTTTTCCCCCCTGTTGAAGGAGTCAATGATTTGATCGGATCACACGACTTAGTATGATGTTCGAAAGATGTGCTCTAATTTGCATATCAACATTTTATCAGAGCCAGTTATGAAATTTAAAAATTCTCCTTACTATTCAAAGTTAAGAACACCAATTTCAGCATTTTACAAAGTGAATCAAATATGTATACACTGAAAAAAAGTATGGCCTTTCTATCTAAAAACTATCTAAATATGGTAAAATTTATCGTGTTTATGGTCTTATGGGAACACCAAAAAGTTCGGAAATTTTTACAGAGTGCTTTAAATCTATCATAAGTGCTTTAAATTTTACAGAGTGCTTTAAATCTATCATTTTACAGAGTGCTTTTGGTTAAATCTATCATAAAATATAGTGCTATAATTTGTGATAAAATTTAGTTAATGCTGCAAAATTTGGTAATTTTATCATGATTTCTTAGAGCATGACATAAAATTGATTTATTCGTTTAAATTTACGTTTCAGTTTAGTGTTACCTAAATGTGTGATAATGAGAATTATAATTTTAGAAACCAGAATTTTCGGCAAACCCTTACCATATAAACGGAAAAATTTCCAAATACCCTATTAAATTAAATACCGTATAATTTGGCTTTATTAATCAGAATTAAGGTTCTTTTTACCAGAAATGTCATAACCAAGCAGTACGGTAATTTTACCAAATTTCTAGTTATTCTAGAAATATAATTTAGAATTTTGACAGATTACTATAAGTTAACTTGGCTAAAAAGTGACTTGAAGAAAGTTAATACAGAATTTTTCGTTGTTAGTAATTAATAAATTTTAAAATTAGATTTTAATAAATTAGAAAATGTTAGCATGCTCACAATAAAAAATCATTTTGGTCGTAGTAACAAAATGCAGAACTTTCTTTAAAAATTAGGAAATACTTGCATACGGATGAAAAAATAAATTAAAAAATTGTTGGCATATTTACGCAAAAATAAATCACAAAATCGGGCTATAGAATAATGTACTAGAATAGTTAAGCTTTACGAAGGAAGGAGGATTGATGGAAACAGGAGAGAAAGGTTTAATTTGTGTGCAACTTACGTATAGTTTTTAAACATTGGTAATTGGGATAAAATACATGTCAGATATGTAATAATTCATATGTTAACGAAGTCTATCTATTGAAAATCAATACGAAATATCTTAAAGTAATAATAATTACTTTAACAGAAATAATTAGGTTCAATAGCAGTCGAGACAAACGTAAATCTCGTGATCTTCAGTAAAATCATATGAAAGAAGAGAGTTATTTTAAATGTATTGAAAGAGTAGCTGTAAAAATAATGACAAATAAAACTATCACAAAAGTTTTTGAAATGTAACCATTCACAAATACACTATTGGAATTTTTATTCTCTAATTACGGTAAAATAATCGGCAGCAGTCTCTCCACCCAATTACCGTAAGGTTTACGGTAAAGAACATTTTTTACTTTTATGGTTTTTAAGCCGTCTACAATTGGTATGGTTAAAAAACCATGAATACAAAACTATACGGTTCTTCAACTGTTTACAACTAGCATTGTTATAAAACCGTAAAAAAGAAATTCAACAAGATATTAGAGCTAGGCTGTTCGTTAGGTAATGGGCATTAGAGTAAGGTTGTGGTTGAGTTGTGTTCTGTCAAATGAACCGTGGAATGAGGTTTAACTAGTTTATCTGTTGGTGCCATCAATTGTAAGAGATTTGAAAGACTGAACTTTTTTGTGTTAAGCAGCTTTATGGTGCTGCCATCAATGCGTGAATTAGAGTATCGTATTCTAATAGTCCATGGTCACAAATTGGGGAGTGCAGGACACTGGAAACTCTTCATGTGTTGAAGGGAATGGAGGAAAAATTGAGGTGCCAACGCTGGGATTCGAACCACCTATAAGATTGACAAATTACTCCTCACGGCTGTAATATATAAACCTAACTGCAAGGAACTAAGTGGCTTCATTAGGTGGACCAAAATTTTACGATAAAATTCTGGTTGCTTAACTGTTATTAGGCGAAAGCAGTTAATAAACTATTTTTCTTCAAGACATGTCAGGCGTTTTTTTATTTCAAATCACTTTTTGTATATATAGTAATTATATTACAGTAATAAAATTTGTTTAGATGCATTTCAACTGTGTTTAACATACAAATATGACATTTTCTTTCTTTCTGTTAGATTGAAGCCCTTACCAGAGACTTAGTACTCACAAATGATCAACTCCAGAAAGTTTCGGTAAATCTGTTACATGAATTTCACAAAGGATTATCTTATGACACTCATCGAGATGCTGCTGTAAAAATGTTCCCTACATATGTCACAGACGTGCCAAATGGAGAAGGTATTTAATTTATCTGCATCAAATTGTGAAACTCACATTGAACATGTTTAACATGTTAAAAAAAACATTATTGATCTCTCTTAGTTTTATATTCAATGCAAGAGTAAAAATTTACAGTTAAAAATAAACTGTGTTTCAACTAATTTAAGGTTTTAAATGTCTTGCTATTGTTTTTAATGACACTTGCACAATTCAAGATCGCAAGCCTTTGGTCTTTTTACGAATTAAGTCAGGAATGAGCTCCTTTCGTTTGACAAGAGAGCACTGTAAGAGTGAAAGTACGTCATGGATCAGAATCCGGCGGATAGATGGCAGCACCACCCATTTGTGATGCCACTTCCTCAATTTAGACATAGATCTAAAGGAAATTTTTTCTAGATCCCTGTACCCATGGTATTGCTTCGAGACTGACCACAGGACTTTTGATTCCACATATTATTACAAGCACCTAGATTACATGTACTCTGCTGGTCTTAGTTTAGTCGGGGATCAAACCCAGGTCCCTTCTAACCAAAGTCCGATTCTGTATTCACTGGGCTACCACGACTCCGTCAATAGCGAATAAATGTTATGCTGTTATTAAAAAATGTAAATATTGCACATGTAAATATTGGTTTTTCTCATAATAGATTTTATAGAATAGAAGATAATTCAGAAAAGAAAACAATTTTATAAATGAACAGCATGTTGTAAATTCTACATTCAATCTAATTATATTATTATCTAGAGAAAAATAGATTTAAAAAAATTTGGGTTCCAAATCAAAGAACTGCGTTTAGTATTAAGGTGGGTATGTTAGACAATTTTTTTTAAAGTTTTAATTTATTTGACTGCATTGTAAAAAATTCCGGATCAAATTACGTTAAGAAGTTTTTACTGTAAAATCCATTTTACGGAACAAAAAATCTGATGCACCGTAATTTTTACAGTAATGGTTACCGTAAAATCACTGAATCACACTAATTAAATAAATCTTATTGTAAAAATTACGGTATATTATTTTACGGTAAAAATGGTTTTTACCGTAAAATAGATTTTATGGATGATGCACTTTATACCGTAATTTGATTCGGATTTTTTTACAGTACAGTTCTTTGAAAAAAGATGGGAATAATGATTTTTTTTAGAAAAAAAAAATGCGTTTTTTCTTCTTTTTCAGTATTGCGTTTGCTGAATGATTTGATTTCTAATATAATTTTTAAGGTTCGAGGATTTTAATTTTGAAAAATATTCTTGTCCTTATAATTTTAAAATTTAAACAAAAGGCACAGATATGGCAAAAAGTGATGATACTATAGTTATTGAAAGAAAAAAAAAATACATATAAAGCAGATTGTAGATATTGTACATTATCATGTTATGGGAGCATTTATGGTTCGATGATGAGAAATTTATATATTTATTCTTGTTTCCCATGCCTTTCTTCGTGAAATAGTCTAAATAATTAATTAAATAATTAATCTAAATAATTATAAAATAATTAATCAAGATATATTATTTTCAGAACAAGGCAAATTCCTTGCTCTTGATCTTGGAGGAACCAATTTTCGAGTATTACTCATAACTCTTGAAGGTGAAGATTTTCACATGGAAAATGAAGTATTTGGAATTCCTGAATCTATAATGCTTGGAACTGGCACACAGGTACAATGCCATTTTTATAAAAATCATAAAGTTGTTTGATCATTTAAAAATAAGCATTCAGTTCCTGGCCACATTTTTAGATGCACTCTAAGATTCTATGTAAAATCTTAATTAGCAGATGATACTAAACAGCTTTATTTTTTTTACGCGACTGAAACCNACATTATTTTCAGAACAAGGCAAATTCCTTGCTCTTGATCTTGGAGGAACCAATTTTCGAGTATTACTCATAACTCTTGAAGGTGAAGATTTTCACATGGAAAATGAAGTATTTGGAATTCCTGAATCTATAATGCTTGGAACTGGCACACAGGTACAATGCCATTTTTATAAAAATCATAAAGCTGTTTGATCATTTAAAAATAAACATACAGTCCGTTGCCGCATTATTAGACGCACTATAAGATTCTATGTAAAATCTTAGTTATCAGATGATACTATACAGCTTTATTGTTTTTACGCAGCTGAAACCGGTTTTCACTTGTTTACGTTCGCGTATCGTATTGGTTAAATTAAACGATGTATAATATAAATTCGCCGATTGAATAAATTAGACTATATATTATATAAACATAGAATACTTATTATATCAGGTATTTTATTAGTATATTACAATAGTTAGATCAAATTTTTAGACGCACTGTAGTTTCTTACTAATTACGTGTCTTGCACGAGTTTATATGCAATACTTTTATATTTAAACATACATGTAATTTGTCTTTATTCCGGAGATTTTTTTATATACTTCATATTTGTATTTATTTTTAACGTATTGCATTGCAAATGTTAACCAATTGATACCTAAACGTTTTGAGTAAGGATGCGCAGAGATGGTATGTGCATGCTAATGCAAAAGTATGCTAATCAACCTCTCGTATGTCTCTTACTTACCGCTTGTATCGTCAGTATGTGGCCTGCCTTAGTGAAGCTAGCCTTAAAAAGGAGCGCTCATCGCTGTTCAGTGAACTGACATAAAATCTTATATCAATTGCGTAAAACAGAGTTCCAAAGAAATATGATTACAAGTAATCTATTATTCATTCCAGTGATTTTTGAAACCGTGATTACTAGTTATGATAAATTTGTGATTGCAAACAATCATAGTTTACGATTATAAATAATCATAATTATTTGTAATCACAACAGGTAAGTAATCTTGATGACAAGTAATCAAAATCTATAATTACATGTAATCGTAAATTTCAATAAATTCTTATCACTATAACTATGTGATTGTAAATTATGATTATCTGTAATCACGGTAACCTGTAATTGATTACTATGTAATCATTATTTTTAATCAATTGCTTTTTAATTGATTTTTATGATGGACCTCTAACGTTGTCGTGAAATCAGACTATGAGTTTCGTTTTTGTTTCATTATTTGTTCTTGTGGAGAAATGCCTCGACTTTGCTATCAAATGAATTTTTCTTTGGTGATAATATTGGTGTACAGTTTTGATTAATGTAGTTCTAGTACAACATTAATAACTAAAACAAATCGAATAATTCTTGCTGAAAAAATGGATTAAAAAAGCGGGTTAAATGAGTATTATGAAAACAGCAAAAGAAATTAGTCAGTTTTCGAACAGGTCAGTCCTTGAACCAGGAATTTTCAACTGGTCCTGTGAACTGACCACTAAGAATGAATTCTTCATAAAAGGTGACAGACTCAAACTTGTTAACCATTTTAGCTAATATGGCTAAAACAATTTATCACAGATAACTTGTTTAATCATTAATTTATTAATTTAATTCTAAAAATAAAGTAATATTTTTTTAAATTTTTTCTTCCAGTTATTCGATCATATAGCTGAATGCTTAGCCAATTTCATGGAAAGACTAAATGTTAAAGATCTCCAATTACCTCTTGGATTTACCTTTAGTTTCCCTTGCAAGCAAGAAGGATTAGCTAGCGCCAGGTTAACAGGCTGGACAAAGGGATTTAAATGCTCAGGAGTCGAAGGACAAGATGTTGTAGAACTACTGCAAGAAGCAGTGCAGAGAAGAGGAGTAAGTTACTTCGCGTAAAAAATATTTTCAATGTTTATAGCCCTATAATATGCATTATTCCAAAATAACCAACTACGTGCCAACAAAGAAAAACCTACAATTTGAAGGAATAAAATGGAAAGTGATATAAATGTGTGGTTAACTAGAGCTTTTCTCCAATAAGATTCAGAATTATTTATAAATTTCGTTAAAAGATGGCGTTGCTAACTTGAAAAACCTTCTGAAATATTCGTATGGGTCTCTGATAATTTTGTCCTCAGACTGCGCCACGTTGTTTCGCCAAAGTTTGTTGTTTTGAAAACATTATTTTATAGTTTTTCTGATCTGTTGGCAAATTTTGTAACAAATTTTATAAATTTAATAATTTGATGATTTATAATTTTTATTCCAAAACAAACTGTACGTCACTGTCTTCTTATGTTTTTAATTGATTTTTTTTAACTTGTCTGATATTTTTGAGATACCCGGTAGCAAAATAAATACCTGCGTATTATTGCTATTTGATTTTTTTCCACAAGTGTTTACTTTCTATTCATAAAAAAATTTAATGTATATCGTTAAAAATTGCCTACAAGGGAAGTTTTTGAAAGGGGTTTTAATATCTAAAATCAACTTTGTTTCTTTGTTTCCTCAACTCGTTCAGTTAAAAAGATATATATATATATATATATATAA